ACTTTTTCAATTTTTAATTTCACGTCCATTCTTCGCACAATGAAGGTACTCGTAGACGTGAATTCATGCACCGGCGCTCCGCCCCTTTAGCCACGCCCACTTGCTGTTTACGGAATTATATTTTTTTCAAAAGTTTTGCATTTTTGGACTGCTCCATGAAGCTTCGCCCGCTGTGAGAGGCCCCGCTCACTCTGAAGAAGCCCCGCCCATTTTCAGAAACGGTGCAGATCGACAGTATAAAGTAGAAAGTATAAAGTAGTAAGACAGTAGAAAGTATAAAGCCATGGCTTGCATGGCAAGGGTATTGCTGGTCATTAGGAACAAACTTTGCCTGATTTATTTGTTCCGAGTGATGGACGAGACCCTAGCATGCAAGCCACGGCTCTATGCAGCCGCATCATTTTTGAAAAGTGGGCGGGGCTTCTACGAAGTGCGCGGAGCCTATCATAGTGGGCGGAGCTTCACGGGACAGCCCAAAAATGCAAAAATTTTGAAAAAATCTCACAATTCCGCGAACAGCGGGTGGACGTGGCCAAAGGGGCGGAGCCTAAATTGCCGGTGCATGAATGCGCGTCTATGATACTTTCGTTGTGCGAATAGTGGATGTGAAATTAAAAATTGGAAAGTTATGAAGATTTGAAGTTCGCAACAAACCTTAAAGAATGGGCGGAGCCAGTCATGTGTTGAAAATCTATGTCCGCGCTGACAAGTAGGCGTGACCGTCGGGGCAGGGTTCGCGGTGGTGTCTGGCCTGATTTGGTTGGCGAACTGCCTGGCCTAACAAGGGAGGTGTTTCAGGTCATGCCGCGCTTTTTGGAAATGGTTTGTTGCTTGTTGTAGGGTTCCATACAAGGGTCACAAAAATGGGTTTCATTTTTGCTATGCGTTTCTGGGTAGGTCAAAAACTGAGTGTAAAGAATTGGCAGGAATGGGCGGTTTTAACAACGTTAATGGGCTCCGCTCTGCTTGTAACTTCGAGCATGCATAGTTTATGAGGTGGTCACTAATCAGGCCTCAAAATAGATTCGATTAAAGTCAAAATGTAATCATGTGGTAACACACTTGGCATGCACCGACGCAACAGTTATGTCTTCGCCTGCGGTCCCCTTCATGACCATTGCTTGCGGATCAGATGGCGTAGCGGATAGCACGAAGGGTTCTGTATGGCACGCAAATGCGGGACTCGGTTCAGGTCCTCGTTGCGGCAGCAGTTTTGCATCTGTATCAACGCAACGAGACGTGAACATTTCCGGAAACAAGGTTCTCCACACAACTGTGCTGGTTTGTAAGGTGTCCAGGAAAGGCCAATAGGACAGCCTGGCCATTTGCAGTGAGTACATATCATTGTACTCGTCTTGACACAATGAACTCGAAAGTACCTTTAAAATTTGCGGAACGATTCTCTGAGCGGACTTATATAGGTTTTCCTTCGCTGTTTTTCTTCTTGCGGGTGGGCTGGCAGTGAATTTGCACCTGTAGCATGACTCACGCTCTCTCCGTGCGAAATAGATATCATATTTGTGTTCAGGGGGTCAAACAACCTCTAGAAGAGAGACCTTGAGGAAATCCGAGGTTCTGACTCAACTTCGAAAAAATGGGGTAGAGATGGTCGCGCCTGGATAATAGCCAATAATCCGACAAGTGATGAATGGTCTTTGCATTGGAATAACCCTTCAGTCATGTCTTTTCGCAAAGAACAATACCTGGCTCACTTGTATAGGTGATGGATGACGAGGATGAGGCGTGAACCTGGACCTCGGACCATTTTTTAGGATTGAAATCTTAGGCAACTTTAATGATGTTCTACCTGTCAACCTCGAAAGATTTGAAGACAATTCTCGCGAGCAAGTATTACGTGTGGTTGGCGAACAAGCAGCCCATAAGTGACTTTGCATTTCAGAAAGAAGCAAAAAACATGGAGGAAAGAGCGGAACTCCTCCCGAATTCCTCACCAGCAGTCACACAGCCTTGTACCAGTCTTCCGGAGTTACTGGCTACTCGACACCCCGTGGCCTCTACGTTACCACTGGCGCAAACTGTCTCTTCGTATCTTCCAGTACTGGATGCCATCTAAAATCAGAAAAAAAAACGGAAACAAAAACAATGAAACACGAAATAGCCTTCGGAAACTCTATGCATGGAGTTGGGATTACGGTAAGCAATGTGGGGCGAGTGTTTGCACTAAATAATTGCATCGCTGCTGAACACGAACGCATCTCCCCTTGCGTAGTGCTGCTGATGACGTATTGTTTCCAAAAACGAAACCACGGAAGGAAGGACAACTCGTAAGCTCGCAAAAAAAGGTTGACAAGCAAGGCTGCTCGTCAACGAGCTTATGAGATCGTCCTACGACCCTGCACGTAATGGTATGCACACTCGTTATTCACAGTGTACATCGTTGCTTTGCAGAGTGAAAAGATCATAGCATACAAGAGTCATGCATCTTTGGCCGCTTTACCTCGCCCATTCGCGTAACGAAAGTGGTACACTCTATGCGAGTGTGGACCTTGAATTGCCGTATGCACGGAGGCATTTCGCGGATCACTTGATCGCGGGAACTGTCTTTAAAACATCAACACAGACTTCAGCAAACGATGTCGAGGCCACAATTAGAGAGCAGCTAGGGGAAATTATCGTAGATTACCAAACTCATATCGCAATGGAAGGGGTGACGTCCTGACCGAGATTTGCATTTGAAGATCGTGTCCTCTCATATGAACGGAGCGAACCAGTGGAGTACAGTGCTGATGGCAAATGGTGCTCTTCTACAATCACTGGATTGACATTGCGGACTGCTGCTCCCGCACCCCTACCGCGGTGCCATTGACAGAGGATGACAAATCAAAGACGCTCTTGTGAAATTAACATCGTGCTCCCAAGTAAGGGAAGAGTTGTAAACATACCCCTTGTGGAGAGGGCAAGAGGAGAAAATGTTCTACAACAGTAACATGATCCCACTATAAATAATCCGCTGATTTTGTCTGTTGGTGTGTGTGAAAACGCTCGCAAATGCCTCACAAGTCTGACCACAAGTCCATAGTCTGGTTTACTTGG